TTTTGAGCTACTGCTCCCATAGGTGTAGGTCAAGTTCATCAAATTGTATGAGAATACTTTTTTTTTTTTTTCCTCTTCTTTTTACTTCTGGTTGAGCTCTTATCATCCAGTCACTGAAGCCAGGATAAGTGGGTATTATCTGCAAGTGTGGGTGTTCTTGTGCATATGCCCTCTCTGATGAAGCCTTTCTTGTCCCTGAAAACTGAGACCTAATCAAGTATAAACCAGAACCACGCTCCTTGCCACTGGGGCAATTCAGACTCATACCAACTCTGTCTAGGGTTTCCGAGGTCATAAATCTTTCCAGGAGTAGAAAGTATCTTCTTTCTTCCACGGAGAAACAGGTGGGTTTGAACTGCCAACAGTTGGCCATCCAGTGCTTACCTTAGAACACCACGAGGGTTCGTAAGTACGTTGCAGTAAAATACTTCCTGACTCCTCCAGGCAGCCCTTCCCGCCCTCCTTAGTGTACTCACTCCTTTGTACTTAATTTGTGCTGTGCATCAGTATTGAAGTGATTTCCTTATTTGTCGGTTTGCTCCACTGGACTGTATTCTGCATTTTTCATTCACCTTCTTGTCCCAATGCCTGGCTCATAATAAAAGCCAATACGGTTTTACTATGAAAAAATTGTCAGTTCCTCCCGATGCTCAATGCAGGCATCTGCAGACAGGACAGCTACTAATAGTTCTCAAGGAGGGATATGATACTTTGATTATAAATTAACTGTTGCTTTATTATTTGACAAGAGAAATAGATATGGGACAGACAGATGAATAAGTGGATTAAAATGAGTTGTGGTGTCTTTTTGTAGAGAGAAGTCGTGAAATAAGAGCAAATGTTTGTGGGAATGTTTAAAAGTTATAAAGTGCCTTATTATTATTATTAGTGTGCTATTACTTGTTGTTGTTATGTGCCTTCGAGTTGATTCCGACCCATAGCAACCCTGTATAGGCTTTCCAAGGAGCCGCTGGTGAGCTTGAACCACCAACCTTGCAGTTCAAATGACTTTGCAGTCAGACACATTAGCCCACAGCACCACACCAGGACTCTGTGATATTACTTACTAGGGTAAGTAAAAAAATATTGCAACCAAGGTTCTAGTTCATACATGCACCAATTTACTGTAAACAAAACGAGTTTGAACATTTCAATATGATTAGTGGATGGCTGCAGACAAGTTTCACTTGGTAATGCACTTCTCTTAGTCTCATTTGTTGTTGTTGTTGTTGTTAAGTCCCATCAAGTCAGTTCCGACTCATAGCGACCTTATATAGGGTACTCAAGGAGCGGCTGGTGGATTTGAACCAACGACCGTATGGTTCATATCAATCTTGCGGTCCAGTGCTTATTCCACAGCGCTACACCAGGACTCCAAATCTCATTAAGGTGCCTTCAGAAAAGCCCAATTAAAACAGTGGCTTCCAAGGGAATCTGCTGGACCAGTCAAGTTCAAGGCAGCTAGGTCAGCTCAGAGGTCAGCTCAGAAGACTGGCATTCTTGGGTTCACCAAAGGGTAATCTTGATAGCTTACAAAAATTACAAGGGCTCACTATGAAGAAATGTTAAGAAAATGGAAACCTGTAATAGTGAAAAAAGGATCAGGAAAGTGGCAGCAAGGAATATTTTCCCTCACAGTGCTGTTGCTCATTTTTTTGCAGGGAGCAAGGAGATTTTCTTGGGAACCTGTACCCCATCCACCCCATAGCCCTGATCTTGCCCCCTTCAGATTTTTTTTTTTGCTTCCTCAACTAAAAGGACATTGAAAGGGAACACTATTTGAATTCCTGGAGAGTGCCAACGCTGCCAACACTGCCATTTTAATGTGGTGTAAGTTGATGAATGCAGAATTCTTTGGGGAAGAGTTAAGATGGATGCCACCTTCAGATGTGTATGGACCTAGATGGAGGATATGTCAAGCTTCAAACTTTGATTTTGTTGAAAAGAAAGATTTATATGATTTTTCAGCAATTCTTTTTGACATGCTATTGTATTTGTTCCCATTGTAACACTGTGAGGGATGTAAGACTATGACTACTCCCGTTAAAAGTCGTGGAAACTGAAGTTCAATTTGTGGTTTACCCAAAGTTTGCACAGGTCTATATGTAGTAAGTGCCAAAGGAGTCACAGTTAAGCCCTGTAAATCCCGTGGGATGGTTTTTTTGTTTTGTTTTGTTTCCTTATATCCTTTTTGGATTACTCTTCCTTGCAAATAAGGAGCTCTGGTAGCTTAGTGGTTACGAATCAGTCTGTGAACCTTAAGGTTAGCAGTTCAAAACTACCAACGGCTCTGTGGGACAAAGATGAGGCTTTCTGCTCCTGTAAAGATTTACAGCTTCAGAAAACCTGTACAGGGTCCCTATGAGTCGGAACCGACTCCATGGCACATAACCACCCCACCACCCTTGCAAATAAATGAGCAAAGAAGAGAAGAGAAAACAAAAGAAGGGAAATAGAAATCTCAATAAGGGACAGTTGCTTTATTTCATTTATTACATTTAATTAATGACAAGACGTCCTAGTGGCATAGTGGATTATGTATTGGGCTGCTAACTACAAGGTTAGTAGTTCAAATCCACCCTAAAAAAAATGAAGCTTTCTGCTCCTGTAAAGATTCACAGCCTTGGAAACCCTATACAGGGTCATTATGAGTCCGAACTGATTTGATGGCACACTAGCACCACCACGGCCAATAAGCGACAACTCTGCAAGGTAGCTAGCTATTACTGCCCCCATTTTACAGATTAGTTATTAGAAGATTGGAAAGGATAGTGGATTGCTACCGTGTAACAGAGTTCAGACTCAAACCCAGGTTCCCTGTTTCTCTGGAACTCAGTTATTCTGTCACATTGCCTGGATCACCTTTCTGACCCCGGAGTCACTAGAGGAAGGTTCTAGCTTTGTCTTGGCCGTACCCCTCTCCCCTACCCCCTCAGTACGGGAATGTGTTGGAGGATCAGAGCTATAATGTTTTTGCTGTCGTCTTCCGTGGAAAACCTCTGAAACCTGTACATTACAGTTCGGCAAGATTTCAAATGAAAAAACTGATGACCTGCTGATGGATTTTCATTGGCTCCTAGAAATGATCAACCATAAGGCTTTGTGCTGTGTGGCTGAGGATGTATGTACAGTGTGTATGTATGATGCTGATCAAGACATAAATTTGCCGGAAATGAATGCTAAACAATTGCCTTTTTTTTTTTTTTTTAATTAAATTCTTCGGTCATTCTGTTTTAACTGTCCATCTCTGATTTGTTTCTGCTTTTTGTTTTTTGTCATTCCTCCTCTTCTTTCTTAACAGATGAGGGAAACACATGACTGTTTTTTTTTTAGTTTTTTTTTTTATCCTTTTTGTAGATAGTTTCTCAGCTGTATTTCAGTGACTGAAGGTTCCATGAGGCTTCAAGGAAGGCAGCACTTTTTGCTTAAGGTCTGCCAGGTATCATGCAGTCAGGAGCCAGAGATAAAAGGTGTATTGTTTTCCCTCCAGGGTTAACAGCTGTGTAGTTTCTCTAGATGCGCTCACTGGCCCAAATAAGGTCAAGATAAAGCAAGGAGTTGGTTGGAATCAGACTACGACAGATGTTCCTTGAGAACCATTGAGGAAAGGGTTTGGTGGAGAGAGGCTCTCTGGAGCTCTCTCACTTGTTGAGACTTTTCACCAGCACCGCACGTGTGTGTTTTTGTTTTATTTTTTTCCCCTCACCCCCAGAGTCGTGGTGTACCTGCTGTTGTTCCTAAGCCCCTTGCCAACAGTGGCATCTGCTCAGTGTAGACACCAAGAATTTGAATGTCAATATCTTTGCCTTGAAATGAATGGAAAAGTATTTGTCACTCAGCAGCAATCATTCTTCAAATGAAAGGTTAGCCAGACAGGGCCTTTAATCAAAGAGTCGGTCTTTTCTGTCAGCAGTGCCTTTTAAATAGCAATGATGAAGGCTGGCTGTCAGGGTTGGACTTGATGAGGGAGATGATTGATCTGCATAAATCATTTTCTTTTAACATTGTCAGTGAAGAGTAAATTGGTGGGACATTTTGGGTATTAGCTGTGTTGAAATTAATATGCACTCTCCTAGGTGTGTCCTCACTTACGTAGTCCTCATAAAAGAAGGTAGGAATTAAAAAGAGGCTTTGAGGCTGGCATTGTTCTAACAAGAAAGTTGAACCGTTCTCACTGCTGCGGTCATCATATTGCATACTAAATTTGGAAGTTGAGTGTGTAGCACATTTTATAAACTCCGAAAGGAATCTAGTTAATTTGGGAATTAGCTGGAGTCAGTAGCATTTAACAACCAGTAAATCTGCGAAGACTCACTGCTCAGAGGAAAGAAATCCAAGAATGGTTTCTGGTTGAAAGGATTGGGTATCTACTTCCCAGAATGCTGTAGTAGACCCGGTTTGGGCTCAAATCCGAGTTGAGTCTTTGGTAAGTCGGCTTGACTGTGACACTTCATCTTTTCAAGTGTGTTTCTTTGTCTCTAAAAATGGGAGGCCATTAATTACCTTTGATGTCGGATGTTTTTGGTACTAAACAGAGTCATGTTGGTAAAAGTACCAAGCAAAATACCTGGCACATGCGAGCAGGTACTCTGTAAAGTTAATTTCCTCCTTTAACTCAAGCAAAATGACCCAAACCCAGAGCTTCTGCTAAAACAGTCATATCAATAGCATGACTGATAAATTGCCTGACTTGGTTATTCCTGTACTTGCTGGGCTAGGCCATTTTCTATATCAAAAACATGCTTGAAGGGGCAAAAGAAATGCCCAATAGCCGAATAGTGGCATGGAGAATGTAGTGGAAGAAACCAGGGAGAAATGTGGTCAGGAACACTTTTTTTTTTTTCTTTTTGTCCCATTTGTCTATGAACTAAATTTTAGAAACTCCTTCCTATGTCTGGTCTCAAATTCTTCAGATTGTTGAACAATCCAAACCTGTGCAAGACAGAGTTGGAATTTACAATGAGGTCTGTGGAACACAATGGCTATGTGACTTTGGGCAAGAGAGTTAATTGCCTCCTTGTCTTTCGGGTTTCTCACCTGTAAAATGGGAGTAGTAATACTAGCTGTCTTACAGTGCCAGAGTTACTGAGTAACATATAAAAGTGTAATAAACTACCTAGAAGAGTGCCTGCAGTATGCATATTAAGTATGATTAGTGCTACTGATTGATTGATGAACTTACAAAGTGAATATTGACAAAATACAATTAGGCCCAGTGTGTTCAAAGAAGAAACATATTTAGCTGTTTATAGGAGCTGATGATACTGTATGCTGGAATGAAAAGCTTCATTCCTGAGAAACTTCCCTCTTGGAGCCAGGAGGATCCTAAAAACATCCGTATTTTAGCTGAGCAGTAGCTGCTGTTGGAATCAGTGACCCACACAGCCTTTCTCTGCTCTTGGAGTAAAATCGGAAGGAAATGGTCTTATGGGAAGAACTAACAAGATGGGGATTTCTTTCAGCGTATATTTTTCATTGATTACATCTCTAAGGCATTGAAAGATAGATGTTATAGGGTCTTTTGATAGTCATCACTTGCTATATTGAAAATAAAGGTTAAAAGAGCATCATCTGTTTATCCAGATGCTTTATGTGCCTCTCATAATGGTAGATCCACATCAGTTCTTGCTTGTGGGCATGTGGCAAGGACAGGTTGGAGGCTCTGTACCACAGGTGTACCATGTTGCTGTTGAGTTAGTTCTGATGGTTCCCTAGTGTTTTCAAGGCTGTGGCTTTTCTGCAGCGCTTTGCCAGGCCTGTCCCTGGAGGTGCCTCTGAGTGGGTTGAGCACTCAACCTTTTGTGCTATCCAGGGACTCATCCTGTTTGCCACACCTACTGCTGTTGAGCCTATTCTAATGACTAGTGACCCTATGTGAAAGAGTAGAAGTGCACCATAGGGTTTCCAAGGCTGTAACCTTACGGAGTCCTGTAGGATCAGCACTGCACTGCCTACAACAAGGTTGCTAGTTCAATCCCAACAGCCGCTCCTCAGAAGCCCTATACAGACTGGATGACATGCAACAACACCAGTCTTTACGGAAGCACACTGCCTCTCATGGAGACACTAGCAGGTTTGGAACTCTGACTGTTGGATTGGCAGCTGCACATTTTCAACCGCTGCACCACCAAGGCTTGCTCATGTGTGCCGTACAGCAGTGCAGAGGGGCAGAGGTTACCTGAAGAGTACCTCTGTCTGTGGGAGATTGGCTTTCTCTCCAAGGCTCGTATTTGGCGGAGGTGATTAGTTGTATTGGACTTTGTTTCTTCTTTCCCATCTTTTGACTTTATTTCATTTTGGGCTTTTAGTCTTTGTTTGCATAACGACAAAAGTTTTTACAAGATATGTCCAGAGGAACTTTCAGGAACACTGAGAGCTTTGGTGTGGGACTCCTCGAAGGGATTTGGAGGCAGCTAATAAGTCTTCCCATTTTCAGATACAGAGATTTAAGCTTTTTCCCAGTCTCACGTCTTTGGTGGTGATGCTACATTAAGCTTAATCTTTGTGTTGTTCCTGGAAAGAGACTGAAATTGTGCTATATCTTCTTCAGCAACAGAATGACTATATATGAAAATATCTAGAAAACATTTTCTGCTACTTTGGCTTGCAATACTTGTGGGCTACAAAAGTGATGAAATTTACCCTACTAGGTTCTTCCCTCATGTTGTCCTTATTAGTAAAGCATAACTGCTTAATGGTGTCCAGCTATATTGGTTGTGATACTCTGCTAAAGATTAATTTCATGTAAAGAAGATCAGAAACAAGGTGTTTAAGAGCTCCTTTAATGTTCCATATACAGTAATTTATCAAAATGATAGATATTTAGCCTTTTGTATTGGATATGAAACATTAGCTTAAAGTCTGTACTGCTTTCTGTCTTAAAATACTCATTACATTTTTCTCCCTGTAAGCATCTCTGACCTCTGCCCTTCATCTCATCTTGAACAATCTGCCACCAGCTCCCAGAGGCTCTCATGTCATGAACTTAGCCTTAGGTTAAGGTTCTCTGGTACCTTGGGCAATGACCAATCTGACTCTCTTTGGACGTATGTAGACAATCAGCAGAATCCATGAACAAATATTTATTGGACGTACATTGTGTTTCCCATGTTGAAGGCACATTGGACATTGCTACATTTGGAACATTGAATGATACAAAGTGGACTTAACTTCATTGAGTATAAAATGATGGAAAACGGATTTCCTTGTTCAAGATACAGCCTCATTACTCCCAAGTTGGTAATTACCTTTTTTTTTTTTTTGAGTTATGAGCTAATGAGGCCTAAAAAATCTGGGCAGTTTCTCCCCATATCATCTTTCTATTTGGGGCAATATGAAAACTGTAGATTTTTATTAAGTTCAATGCCTAGGATGAGTCCATTGCTAAGCCTACAGTGGCTCCGTATTGTGTAGGAGTTTGGCATTCCAGACCTTAAAATAAGTGTAATACCCATTTAATATTTTTTGATGAATTGATGAATGAAAGAATTAAGAAACCCCACTTTTCTTTTTCACTGTTATTGCCCACTTAGTCCTAATACTTGCATGTGTTACAGTGACTTATGTGATACTGTGATTTGATAGCTATGCCATAGTAGTTGAAATACTAGAGGGGTCACCCGTGTTGGATAGTTTTATGTGTAGCTTCCAAACTAAGACAGACTAGGAAGAGGGAGCAGGTGATCTACTTCTTTAAAAAATTGCACCATGGAAAACCTATGAATAACAGCAAAACATTGTCTGATACAGAAGGTGAGCCTTCCTAGTGGGCAGTCACTCAGTATATAAATGGGGAAGAGTTGCCTCCTCAAAATAGAGCCAACCATAATGACATGCGCGGGCAAGTTCGCAGCGTTTTTTGAACATTACCTAATGTAATCTAAATGAAGTGGAATGCATCAAGGTCAATATCCTAGGCATTACAGAGCTGAAATGGACTGGTATTGGCTACTCTGAAGGAGACAACCATATGAAGAAGCTCCCAAAAATTTGTGGGAACATGGAATCAAAAGATCATGAAAAATTTCCATGAATTTTGTGAAGCCCCTTTATATAGTCTGCTGTGCAGCAAATGACAAATCAAAGAGGAATGATACCACACTCAACATCAAAAAGAACATTTCAAGATCCATCCTGAAGTATAGTGCAGTGACTTATAGGATGACATCTATAAACCTACAGTATCAATATAATTCACATCACATAAGGAAAATCAGATAATACAACTATGATTCAGATTTGCACACAAACCACGAATACCAAAGAGGAAAGAACTGAATATATTTCTGCAACCAAAATTGATCAAACATGCAGTCTAGATGCATTAATATTTACTGATGATTGGAATGTAAAAGTTGGAAGCAAAGAAGGATGTGTAGTTAGATAATATGACCTTATTAATAGAAGCAGTATGGGAGATTGCATGATTGAATTTTGTAAGATAAAGGACTTATCCATTGCAAATGCCATTTTTCATCAACATAAATGGTGACTATGTATGTGGACCTTAGTGGATGGAAGACACAGGAATCAAATTGACTACATTTGTGGAAAGAGATGATAGAGAAGCTCTGTGTCATCATCCATAGCAAGGCCAATGACCTACTGCATATCATACAGTTAATTGCTCGTATGTAAGTTCAAGTTGAATCTGAAGAAAATATTTAAAAAGTCCATAAGAGTCAAAGCATGACCTTCAGTATATCACACATGAATTTTAGAGACCACCTCAAGAACAGATTTAACAGATTGAACACCAGAAGATGAGTCATGGGATAACATTGAGGAAATCATACATGAAGAACCAAAAGGTTGTTTAAAAGATAGGAAAGAAAGAAAAGACCAAAATGAATGTCTTGAAACT